AATTACGTAATTATGTGTATACAGGATAGCTAACAAAACTGTATTACTGTCTTCTACTGCTCTATAGAAAGGAATAGATAATGAATACTTGTTTGTTAACTATTGTTACTCTCCTATTAGTCTCAGTTGAAACTCTGTTTTATTTTATTCCTATTTTTCTTTTTTTTTTTTAGATACTGTGAATTGAACTCAGGGCCTCACACTTGCCTGGCAGATGCTATGCTGCTGAGCTACATCCCCAGCCCAATTCATTCATTCTTAATTTTTCTTTTTCTTTTTTTTTTTTTTTGAGCAAAGAATTTTGAAAGAGAATCAGACTGCATCTCTTCACGTTCCAAATATTCCTTAACTCCCCCCCGCCCAAAAAAATTCCTTAATTCCTTTTGCAGATGGGAATGGGACGAAGAGATGGAGGTAGAGGGGAGGGAGGGAGAGGAGAAGTAAGAAGAATTAAGATGTATTTTATACACACACACACACACACACACACATATATATATATATATATATATATATATATGTACCAACTCCTCATGATGAATGTGGTCACTATGTACCACAGACAGGTGGTACATAATAAAAATGAGAAAAAAAATTCAAATCCAAAACAAACAAATGGAAGAGATTATGGCTTTGCCTTTACTCCTCCGCTGAATATACTTCCATGGAGAGTGTCAGTAACTTCTAAATTGCCAGTCCAGTGAATACCATAACCCCCTTTATTGCTTATCTTTCTAGGATCCCTTATTTTATCTCAGTAGTCCTCAGAGATTAGGCTGTCAAAACACAAGGCCATATTTCTGGCCCTGGCTTGCAGAGCTTCTGAGGAGGAACATCTGGGGCCTGCCCCGCTGGGGTTCTTAGAGGATGTTGATGCCTCTGGTTGGGGACCACAATTTAACAGTCTTTTACCAGATAGTAATGACTGTTCTACCCTTAAAATATACTTCTCTTCTTATCTCTATAACAGCACAGTCTATTTGGGTGTGGTGGCCTTTCTGTATAATCCTAGCTAGTCAGGAGGCTGATGCAGGAGGATTGCAGGCTGGAGGCTAGCCTGGCAAGCTTAGTGAGACCCTGTCTAAAAATTAAAAAATGACTAGGTATGTAACTCAGTAGTGGAATGCCTGCCTAGCATATGTGAGGCCCTGGGTTCTAACCCTTGCACTGGAAACAAATGGAAAACAGTATGTTCTTGTAGTTCTAATAACTCATCTATGAAAAAAGGTGAATTATGAAAAATCATTTATATGTGGAATGACTAATAACAAGTTAACTTATTAAAAAACAATTTAAGATAGAATTCATATGCTATAAAATTCACCTCTTAAACCATATAATTCAGTGGTTTTCCGTATATCCACAGAAACATACAGTGATCATCACTATCTAATTTTAAAAGTTTCATTGACCCCAAAAAAGCCCTATATCCATTAAATACAGTAGTTACTTCCAGTTTCCTCTCTCCAGCCACAACTAATCTACTTTCTGTCCCTGTGGATTTGCCTATTCTAGACATTTGATGTAAATAGAATCATCATATGTGGTGGTTGTCTCCTTTTATGTAGTATAATGTTTTCAGGGTTCATCTGTGTTGTAACATGGGTCAGTGTTTTCTTCTCTTTTATAGCATAAAAATATCCCATTGTGTGGATATATAGTCAGCCCCTTGTGTCTGTGAGTTAGGGCCATATGTGTGGATTCAGTTAACCTGGCATCAAAAACATTCAGAAAAAATATGCAGGGGCTGGGGATTTAGCTCAGCGGCAAAGCGCCTGCCTGGCAAGCGCAAGGTCGTGAGTTCGGTTCCCGGTACCGGAGAAAAACAGAAAAAATATGCATCTGAACCAAATCTGTGCAGGCTTCTTTCTTTTCATTATTCCTTAAATAATACAGTGTAGCAGCTCCTTACATAGCATCTACATTGTGTTAAGTATTACAAGTAACCTGAAGATGATTTAAAGTATACAGGAAGATATTGCATGTTATGTGTAAATAATATAGCATTTCACATAAAGGGCTTAAGCATCATTGGATTTCTGTATCCACAGTGTCCTGGGACCAATCTGTGTGGATGCTGAGAGAGGACAGCCCTGTATTTTGTTTATCCATTCACCAGTTGATGGCCACTTGAATTGTTTCCACTTATTTTAGTATGAGTAAATGTTAACTATGTTCAAGTTAATTTGTTAATGTGTTTTCACATCTCTTAGTTATATATCTAGGAAAGGGATTACTGGGTCTCTAATTTTTTTTTTTTTTT